TGTGGGGGGCGTGGGCGGGGCCTGTCGGGCGGGGGCGTGGCCTGCCGCACCGGGGATGCTCCGGGCTCTGCCCCTGCCCCGGCCCGGTGGGGGGTGACCGGCCCCCGGTCCCGGCCCCACTGAGCTTTTCTCCCCCCCCCGCCCCGCAGTCGGGTTCGAGTTCTGGAAGCAGCTCTGCGCCGAGCACGGCATCAGCCCCGAGGGCATCGTGGAGGAGTTCGCCACCGAGGGCACCGACCGCAAGGATGTCTTCTTCTACCAGGTACCGCGGGGGGCCACGCCGTGCTGCCTGCCCTCTCACCAGCTCCGGCCCTGCCCGGGTGAACACAGGCAGCGCTGCCGGTCACCGCTTCAGTTCCCTCCAGCACCCCCAGTTCAGGGACTGGTGGGCTGACGCCGACCCCAGGCTGGCTGGAGCAGCAGCCTGAGCCCAGCGCTCCTGCTTGGCAGCACGGAGTCCTGCCAGGGCTCCTCTCTGTGCTCCAGTTTCTGGAAATGGATGTGTTGTGGAGGCAGAAGCACGAGGCTGAGGCTGCCATAGATACCACCATACGTAACTGCCGCCCGCGCAGCCCGTTAGAGCCACCCCCCCCCACCCAACCCAGCACCCAGGGAACGCTCTGGGGCACGTGCAGATGCTGCATTACAGACAGGCCGTCCCACCTTGAGTACTGTGTCCAGTTTGGGGCTCCCTACCATAAAAAAGACATCGAGGTGCTGGAGCGGGTCAAGAGAAGGGCAACAAGCAAGGGTGGGTGTAGAGAGCAAAGCAAAGGAGGGTGTAGAGAGGCGGGGGTCGGTCTCTTCTCCCAAGTTACAGATGATAGGACAAGGGGTAATGGCTTCAGGTTGCACCAGGGTAGGTTTAGACTGGACATTAGGAAATAATTCTTCACAGAGAGAGTGGTCGGGCATTGGAATAGGCTGCCCAGGGAGGTGGTTGGGTCACCATCTCTGGCTGTGTTTAAGAACCGTTTAGATGTGGTGTTGGGGGATATGGTGTAGGGAAGAACTTTAGAGTAGGGTGGATGGCTGGATTCGATGATCCCGAGGGTCTCTTCCAGCCTAGATAATTCTGTGATTCTGTGAACAAAGCTGGTGAGGGGTCTGGAGCACAAGTCTTACAAGGAGAGGCTGAGGGAGCTGGGGGTGTTCAGCCTGGAGAAGAGGAGGCTGAGGGGAGACCTTATTGCTCTCTCCAACTCCCTGAAAGGAGGGTGTAGAGAGGTGGGGGTCGGTCTCTTCTCTCAAGTCACAGGCGACAGGACGAGAGGAAATGGCCTCAAGTTGCGCCAGGGGAGGTTCAGGCTGGATATTGGGAAAAATTTTTTCACTGAAAGGGTTCTCAGACACCGGAATGGGCTGCCCAGGGAGGTGGTTGAGGCACCATCCCTGGAGGTGTTCAAAAGACGGGTTGATGTAGTGATGGTGATGCTTTTTGTTTGTTGTGTGGGTGTCTATTTTTGTCGAAGTGAGGTTGACGGTTGGACAAGATGATCTTTAAGGTCCCTTCCAACCTAGAAGATGCTGTGATTCTGAGTTTCCCTTGCTCCCCGTCCCTCAGACACTGGCTGTGCCGTGCTCTGCCGTGGCCAGGGGGTGGCAGGCGACGCGGCAGTTCCTTTGGCAGCGCTGGGCTGCGACGGCATCATCATGATCTCACTGCTCCTTGTTAAAGGCAGATGATGAGCACTACATCCCGCGCGCCGTGCTGCTGGACCTGGAGCCCCGAGTGATCCACTCCATCCTCAACTCCCCTTACGCCAACCTCTACAACCCAGAAAACATCTACCTGTCGGAGCACGGAGGGGGAGCTGGGAACAACTGGGCCAGTGGCTTCTCACAGGTAACAGCTCCGGTGCTCCTGGCTGCAAACACAAGCCAGCTCATTAGGGGAAGGCTTATTGTGGCCTTCTCATGTCAGGCTCAGAACGTGGCGTCTACAGAATTCCTCATCTTTGAGTAGGGACTTAGACCTGACACTTCATGGCTTCAAGCTCCAATAGGGTAGGTTTAGATTGAACATTAGGAAAGAATTTTTCACCGAAAGAGTGATAGGGCATTGGAACAGGCTGCCCAGGGAGGTGGTGGAGTCCCCATCCCTGGCTGTGTTTAAGGGCCGTTTAGATGCAGTGCTGAGGGACATGGTGTAGGGGAGGACTTTGTAGAGTAGGGGAGATGGTTGGACTCGATGATCCCAAGGGTCTCTTCCAACCTAGACCATTCTATGATTCTATGATTCATGGCACCCTGGGCACAGGTTGCCAGCCTGGCTTGGCTTCTCACCAGGCTTGAGCAGCTCTTCCCCATTTTTCTGTAGGAAAGCAACAAACCCCGGTCTGCTCTCTCTTGCAGGGAGAAAAAATCCACGAAGATATTTTTGATATAATAGACAGAGAGGCTGATGGGAGCGACAGTTTGGAAGTAAGTAAATCAGGGGATTTGGATCCAATTGCCCTGCTCGTCGTTTCTAGAGCTGGGCTGCTCTTTTGTGCGGTGGGAGGAAGAATCAAGGAAGTTCCTGAGCAGCAGTTCCACTTTGTGGTGTGTGCAGAGAGGTGGATTCCACCCTCGCTGGCAGAAGTGGCCTGATGAGCTGTGGCTGTAGCTGTGGTCCCCAGAAGCCAGGGCTGACGTCTGCTCCATTGCAGGAGCCAGGGCTAACCTCCCCTTGGTCCCCAGGAGCCAGGACTAACCTCCCCTTGGTCCCCAGGAGCCAGAGCTAACCTCCCCTCGGTCCCCAGGAGCCAGGGCTAACCTCAGCTTGGTCCCCAGGACTCAGGGCTAACCTCTGCTCCATCTGCAGATGTCAGCTCCGCGCTGTCGGTTGTGACAGGGGCAGTTCTTCCCCCCCTGGCTGGCGGGTCCCTGCTGGAGCTGGAGGTGGTGGCAGAGCTCTCTTTGCTCCACCTGCCCCTGGGGCTGAGCTGAGCCTTGAGAGCTTCGTTCTGCTTCCTTCCAGGGATTTGTGCTTTGCCACTCCATCGCCGGCGGAACGGGCTCGGGGCTGGGCTCGTACCTGCTGGAGAGGCTGAATGACAGGTGAGCGCTGGCCTGTCCCCTTCCCCGGGCAGAGCCTGAACCAGCCCGGGCATCCTTCCAGCGCTGACTCAGAGCCACCACCCCCACCCAAACACTCTCTTGTGCAATCCCTGGCTGGCTGCCCCGGGGGGGAAGGGACGGTTCCTGATACGCCTGGGGACTTCACAGCCTCCGAAACTGGCCTCGTGCTGCCCAAACTCTGCCTTCCCTCCGCTGTTCTTATCGGGCAGCTGCCTCCTGACAGCCTGACGGTGCAGGGGAGGGTGGGTGGCTGTAGCTGTGAGCTCTTGAGCTGCAGTCCCTGCCTGTTTCAGCTTGCAGCCTCTTGAAAAGGCTTGTGAGCAGCTGCTTAATCAGCCTGGGGATGGCTCAGCCTGGCCTGTAGCTGTGTCTGGCAGCCTGTGCCTGTGCTGCGAGGGCAGCGCTGCTGGGACAAATTCCCTCCCTCCCTGGGAGCCAGCTCTGGCACGGAGTCCCGGTGACTCACTGCTGTCCTGGGCCCTGGAGACTGCAAAGGGAGCTTGTGGGAGGAGAGAGAGCGCTGGCTCGGTGGTGTTAACCCTTGAGGTGGCTGGGCTTTCTCCACCAGGTATCCCAAGAAGCTGGTGGAGACCTACTCGGTTTTCCCAAACCAGGACGAGATGAGCGATGTTGTTGTCCAGCCCTACAACTCTCTGCTGACACTGAAGAGGCTGACTCAGAATGCTGACTGCGTGGTAAGGGTCCCACTGGGTGTCACGCCAGCAGGACAGCCAGCTCCCACTTGGCAGCCCTGTCCCCAGCCCCTCGGACACGGCTTCTCCTGGGGCCGGTGCCACAGCAGGGAGCGATGAGCCTGCCAAGTCCCGGGCACAGCAAGGAGTGCCCCCCTGTCCAGAAGGGGCTGAGCAGATGCTGTGGTCGCAGGGACAAGGAATCTGGGCTGTTCCACTTGGCATTTCTGCCTCTGGGACCCAGCAGATTCTTCCTATGGCAGCGAGGACTGGCTGTGCGTCCTCTGCTGAGCTGTGCTGCAGCCTTCTCTTTGAACTTGATTCCACCATGGCTTTCGGCCCCTACCAGTCCCACTCAGGCACCATCTTTAGCCTCCACCAGGGCCTTCAGTCAGGTCTTGATGCTGTTTGTCCCTCCCAGCTCATCTGTGCAGGGCAGGAGCTGCTGGGGCCGAAGGCTGCTGCGTGGTGCTGGCCCAGAGGCAGTGCCCTGCTCTTGGGGAGCGCAGCCAAGACAGGAGGGAAGAGCTTCCATTGACAGTGTCGGTTACGCTCCAGAGATGAGTCAGCTTGTGGTTTCAAGTGTCTGCCACCTGCCGCCGAGGGCTGCGGCGCCCAGGGCCCGCGCTGGGCCACTGGTGCCCTTGGACACGTGGCCAGGGCTGTCCCCGGGGCTCGTCACCCAGCCGGTGTTTCTCTTGCAGGTGGTTCTGGACAACACGGCTTTGAACCGCATCGCGACAGACCGGCTGCACATTCAGAACCCCTCCTTCTCTCAGATCAACCAGCTGGTGAGAAGGGCTCTTCCCTCTGGGGAAGATGACGGGAGGCTTCCCCACTGCCTTTGGCTCCGTCTGGCCCTGCTCCCTGCGCTGGGTGGGGGTGGTGGTGGGCACCCTGTGGCTGTGAAGGAGGGTCCCCTGCCCTTCCCATGGGTGGCCTCCATGGGCACTCCAGCTTCCCCCAGCAGGGCTGCATGAAGCAGGCTTTGAACGTGCTCCACGGTGACGTAGACCCTGACCCCCTGCTCTCCCCCCAGGTCTCCACCATCATGTCTGCCAGCACCACCACGCTCAGGTACCCGGGGTACATGAACAACGACCTCATCGGGCTGATCGCCTCCCTCATCCCCACCCCACGGCTCCACTTCCTCATGACGGGGTACACACCGCTCACCACCGACCAGTCGGTAAGGCACCTCCTCCCCTTCCCCAGGGCACGGGCAGCACCACGCTCACCTCGTGACACCCACCAAGTCCCACAGTCCTGGTGTGAGCCCTAATTGCGTGTTCCACCCCCCAGCCCATGTGCCCACACCGTGTAACCCCCACCTGTGATGTGAATCAGCTGTGATCAGGCATCTGTGCTCGTGCTGGGCTACCTTGCTGTGTGCAGGAGCGTGGCTATGGCAGCTCAGGGTGGGGCAATGGGATCTGATCTGACAAAAGCCACCCTTAGAAATGTTTAATCTGAGCCCAGAAAAGCAGCCTGGCCAGTCCTGCCACCCCGGTGGGCCAGCAGCCCAGGCTGTTTGGGTCAGAACACTTGACACTTGTCGTGCCAAGACTTAGCTCTAGGCATCAGCCCCTTCCCCGGGTCTGGTCTGTGTTCTGGGAGGGGATTTCCAGCCCTCAGCCCCCCCCCCCCCCCCCCCCCCGGGCGCGGGCCCCCCCCCCCCCCCCCCCCCCCCCCCCCCGGGGTGAGCAGGGGACAGTTGTGTTGTGAGAGGCTCTCACCTGCGTGTGCCGCGTCGCGGTCCTGCCGGGAGCTGACAGCTGCTGTTCTCCTCTCCCTGCCTGCGCTTCCTCAGGATGTTACTCAGAGAAGCAAATCTGAAAAACTGCTGGCTCTGAAAAGGGTATCGAGCGTGTGATCTGTCCTCCCCGGGAGGAGTGTGGGGAGGGCTCAGCCAGCAGCTCAGACGGTGCCTGGAGCGGGGCTGGCACCTTCCTCCGGGCACTCCCTTGGGTGCCAGCCCGGGCTATAGCCCCGTGGCAACCTCAGGGACTGCCCAAGGGCTTGGTGTGGGGCTCGGTGGGGAGGGGGTGCAGTGGGAAACAACCCCTCCTGTTCCCCAGCCCTGCTCCTCACCTCGGCAGTGGAACAGGACAGAAGTTTGTCCCCGTCACTTGGGCTCAGCAGAGCCTGCTCCAGCCCCTGCTGTGCTGCCGGGGGGCAGCCCTTGTGTCAGAGTCCCCACCAAGGCTCTGGGTCTCAGCTTGGCTGTGCCTGTTGTGTGACGTTGGGGTGTCCCTGTCCTGCATGTGGCCTTGCACGTGGCTCTGTCCCCGAGGTGAGGTCTTCTCTCTCCGGCTGCCCTCCCGGTCCTGTGTTCGTGGTGGCAGGAGGGTGAGGGAGCCAAGTGCCTGCCCCCTCTCACCCCCGGTGGGTGTTTGCAGGTGGCCAGCGTGAGGAAGACCACAGTCCTGGACGTGATGAGGAGGTTACTGCAGCCTAAAAACGTGATGGTGTCGACAGGGCGAGACAGGCAGACCAACCACTGCTACATCGCCATCCTCAACATCATCCAGGGGGAGGTGGATCCGACGCAGGTGAGCTCCTGTGGCCATTTCAGATCGTGATGGCAACGGCCCAACCTGCTGGGGAAGGGTACGGCCACCATCTTCCTGTACGGGGACCTTGGGGCAAGACCGAGCGCTGAGAACTGCCTCTGAGTTAGTGCTGTGAGGGCCCTGGCCTCCTGGAAAGGCCACTAGTCCTTTGCCATGAGGAGCCTCCCTACCTGCCCTTTGCTGAAATCCACCTTCCTGAGGAGGTGTGTCCAGCTCCTGGGTCTGCTGGGACCAGGCAGCTTTGCCCATCTCCCTCCTGCTCTCGTCCCACCAGGTTCACAAGAGTCTGCAGCGGATCCGGGAGAGAAAACTGGCCAACTTCATCCCCTGGGGTCCTGCCAGCATCCAGGTGGCTTTGTCCCGCAAGTCCCCTTACCTGCCATCCGCGCACCGTGTCAGCGGCCTCATGATGGCCAACCACACCAACATCTCCTCGGTGAGTGCCTTCCCTCTGCGCCACGGGCAGCACTGCTGGCCCCTCGGTCACAAACCCCCTCTTCTCAGGGGGCTTTCACAAAGCCACGGCGGGGCCCGTGGGTGAGGGGAGGGCGGGCAGCTCCCGGCTGGGACTCAGGCTTGGTCTGGAGTTGTCCCCCAGGAGCAGGGAGCAGCAGGACTCCCTCTCCGCAGCCAAAGGCAGCCTGGGAAGCAGGAGCTGATCCCGAGTGCTGGCTGGGTGTGGGGCAGCGGCTACTGCCCTGCCTTGTGGGGGTCCCCGGGGAGCCCTGGCCCCTCTGACCCTCTGCTCTCCAGCTGTTTGAGCGGACGTGCCGGCAGTACGACAAGCTGCGCAAGCGGGAGGCCTTCCTGGAGCAGTTCCGTAAGGAGGACATCTTCAAGGACAACTTCGACGAGCTGGATAACTCCCGGGAGATCGTGCAGCAGCTGATCGACGAGTACCACGCGGCCACGCGCCCCGACTACATCTCCTGGGGCACGCAGGAGCAGTGAGCACCCTGCCAGGGGACGGGGGGCTCCCGGGGCCACCTCCACGCACGCCGGCAGGGCTTGTCTCTGCCGTGCCCACCTTTTGCACCCCTCAGTGTTGACCGGTGGCGGCGGCGGCGGCATCGCCCCGGCCGCTCACACGCTGCAGCACCACTGCTGCAGAGCCTCGGTGGGGGGACAGCCTCTGCCCCACCTCCTGCCCCGGCCCAGGACTTGAGTGGGGCAGCTCCACGCTGCGCTGGCAGGAACCTCCACCCGTGGGAGCAACTCTCGCTGGGAGGAGGAGAGAACGAACCCAGGGTGGGGGCTCAGAACGGGCCTGGCCCAGAGTTGGGTGCAGGCGACCCCCGTGGCCAGAGGCTCTGTGTGGCTGAGCTAGTCCTTGCCCTGGGTAGGAGCCTTGTTCCTCCTTCGCCAGATCAGGCCTGGGGCACAGGCTGTATCTATATTTTTGTAGGTTATTTTGCTTTAATAAAGGCTGTTCCTGCACTGACGCTGCCTGCACGGCTCCTGGAGCGAGTGCCCGGGGAGGGGAGCAGCTGTAAACACTTGCCAAGGCCAGCACTCACCTTGCCCAGCTGGCCAGCCCGGTGTCCCGGCTCGGTGGCAGCACTGAACCGGGGCTGTCGCTCACCTGCACGTCCCGGGGAGCGGCTGGGACCGGGAGGCAGCCGGCAGCGTGCTGTCTGGGCCACCGCTGTGGCAGAGCCAGAAATACTGGCAGGACCTGCCGGCATGGCTGACCAAGGCCTGCAGCCGGCACCGCCCTGCCCTGCCCGCACCGCCACGCACTGCAGCTCCACAGGGGACAGGACCCGGGCGGGAGGGAGACCCCCGAGACCTGGGGAGACCCCCAAGACCTGGGGAGACCCCCGAGAGCTGAGGGGCATCCCTGAGAGCTGGGGGGCATCCCTGGCCACACTGGAGCCAAAGCAGGGGATGACCGGGGAAGGATGTAGGCCCAGGCTGTCGTTGTTGATGGAGGGGCAAATGGGGCTGCCCCGCTCCTGCCCCCCATGAGCAGGGCTGTGAGGGATGGTGTGGGGCAGGGAGGGACGGTGTGGGGCAGGGCTGGCACCAGCCCAAGCCCCGGCAGGCCAAAGTGAGAACTAGCCTTTTCCTCTGCCCCTGCGGCGCGGAGTGGCAGCTAAAAATACCCACCCGCCATGACAGCGCCCGGGTCCCACGGCCTCCCTGGCACCGGCACCGCGGCCGGGGCAGTTCCCCCCGCTGGGGCAGGCCAGTGCCAGGGGGTGCCGGGGAGCCGCGGCGGAGCCAGAGCGTGGCCCAGGCTGTTGGTGAAATGCCAAAGGGCGCAGCGAGCGGCGCTGGCCGGAGGGACGGCGGTCCCTGTCCCCAAGGACACGCTGTGCCTCTCCTCCTCCCGCCGCCTGTCCCCGGCCCCGCTGCCCCCGCCGCCCCCGGGGAGCAGAGCGTCCCTGCCTCCCAGCCACCGCGGTCACGGGAGGCCCAGCCGTTCCTTTGTGCATTTATTTAGAAAAAAACAAACAAAACACCCCCCTCCCCTCCCCAAGACAGAACCGACAAACTTTACAGAGGCAACACTGAGGGGCTGAGCCCCAGCCGTACCAGCCACCCCCCCGCCGGCCACCCCACGCCACCAGCCCCGCCGTGGGGCCCCGGCCAAGCGGCAGGGCCCCGGCCATTCGGAGCCCCATGGCCCCTGCGGCGGCTCAGCCAAAAGCCGCCCGCAGCTTTCCAGGAGGGGTGGGTTCAGCGGACGGACAGACAGACAGACAATGGCACAGCACCGCTGCCTGGTGCCCCCCGCCCCAGGCAAAGCCCCCCACCCCGGGGGCGGCAGGAGCTGGGGCACCGGCAGAGCTGCCAGGCAGCACGAGTGCTGGAGGCGAAGGCACCGGGGTGCAGGGGAGCAGGGGACAGGGACAGCCTGGGGGCAGCACGGGGGGAGGCCACAGCACGGCAGCCCCCCTGCCCTCCAGGGAAAGTGCTGGGAGACGTGGGGGGCACGGGCGTCTCGAAATAAATTAAGGAAATAACCAGAAAGGCAACAGCGGCGCAGGGAGCACGAGCCCCTGTCCCCGGCTCCGGGGAGCAACTGGGGACCAGCACAGACCCACGGTTTGCCACCTGGCCCCCCTTCCCCACGCTGGCCATCAGGACCACCCTGGGTGGCCACCAGGCTAACTGTGGAAGGAGCCCACGGGTGGCCGGAGCTGCCAGGGCCCTGCCGTGGGGCAGAGTCCCTGGGGTGGGGCGGTGGGGTCTGGGGCTGGGGGGCTGGTGGTGGGCTCCTGGGGCCGGGGTGGCCGCCGGGCAGCCGCGGAGA